CACTTCTCGTCCTCCAGGGCTTCTACGTTTTTTTGGGGATTCCCCCCCCCCGCTTCCATCACATCTTTACGGGCTTCCTAGAAGCATCTGGCCGGACCAGGGAGAGCCAGGGTCTGATTTAGGAGGTGGGTTTAGCTTGTCTTACCGAGAAAAGGTGCTAACAATGTCTGCAAAATCTCTTCACCCATGAAGTTTGGCCTAAATTTCAAATTCCACCAAAGAGCCAACTACCTGGAAAACCTAACCATCTCAAAGGCAGGCCTTTTCAGGAGCTAGATTTTACTGTCTTCCATCTGCATATGTACGTTAGTTTTTACAGGGATGACTTATGGGGAGGGAGAGAGAGGGAGGGTCACCACCGGGGGGGGGAACCAGGAAGCTCACTGCTCCTCCATGCATATGTGTGCGTGAGCGTGCAGGGAATCATCCTCGCGTGCTGGTGTTTTTTTTCCTCCTGTGCATAGAGACTTCCCTTTTCCTTTTCTGCTTTCCTTCCTTCCTTTGGGAGGGTTTCCAAAGGGAAGGAGATGCAGAGACTCTCCGGATGACCCCCCCCCCAGGCCTTCTTCAGCACATGCTTGGCTGTGGAGCCTTTTGGATTCCCTTTCAGGGGGGAGGGGCCATCCAGAAGGAGGAGGAGGTGATACCCCACCCCTAGGGAGGAGGAGCCTCAGGGTGGGTGTGGCATATCTATCTTTTGCTCTGCCCCTTTTTCCTTCAATTCTCCTGCCCACCTACCCCAGATCCTCCTCTCCATAGGTGTGGGTCGCTGTGTCAGGGTTGGTCTGGGACTTTCTTGCAAGGAGCTCCTGCCTCCCCGGACATAATGCCAAAGCCTTACCGAGAAAGGTTTTTTGAGTTAGCCCACGCTGCTGCTTTTTCTGGCCACCTTCGCCTTCAAAGGACCTTGAATAGATTTACTACTTGTTTCTACTGAGCCAGTACAGTATTTCAAAATCAGTCCGATCTAAATGTCGCAGCTGTCCTGTTTGTCAGAAAACTGGACATGCGACTCACGTTTCTGAAGCTGAACTTCAGAGTATGCCTGTTACTTTTAAACCTTTTAAACAAACGGATTTGGGACGTTGTGGGACCTTTTCCACCTAGTAAGACTGTTTTCTTCTTCCCGCTTCCAGTGGCCTTAGAGGAGTTGACCCCATATTGACCCCAACAGAGCATGGGATTTTCTGGATCAAGGCTTGAGATCTCTACGCAAGGACCTCCAGCTGGAGATATCTGGGAACAACGTCTTTCCAGGTGAATTAATTTTTTTAAAAAATGTCTAGTACGTATACAATGCAATAGCCATTCTCATTACTTGTACAGAATTAGCAAGTTTTGGAATTGCTTGGAATCTCTTCCTGTTAATCCCGCCTAAAATAATGTTTGCCTTTTTTGTAGCCGCATCACACTGCTGGCTCTTATTCAGTTTGTTATCTATGAAGACTCCACAATCGTTTTTGCTTATAGTATTGCTGAGCCAGGCATATCTTGAACTTCTGTATATTTTGACTTCAGCAAAGCTTTTGACCAAGTGTGCCATGATATCATGGTTAGCAAGCTAACTAGCTGTGGGCCGGATAGATCAAGGGTCAGGCGGATACACAGTTGGCTACATAATCATACTCAGAGAGTGATGATTAATGGGTCCTTCTCTAACTAGGAGGATTTCACTAGTGGGCTACCCGAAGGCTCTGTCCTCGCCCCGGTGCTACTCAATATTTTTAATAATGATGTGGATTGGGGATGCAGGGAAGGTTGTCAAAGTTGCAGATGATACCAAATTGGGCGGAATATTTATTTATTTTATATCCCACCTTTCGAGACCAAAGTCTACTCTGGGTGGCTAACAACATAGAAGAAAAAAAATAAACAAATGAACAACAACATTTAAACCATAAAGATAACAATAATTTAAGTATTGGAGGGAAGGCCTACCTAAGGAGTCAGGTCTTGAGTTGGCTCTTAAAAATACCCAGCAAGGGAGCCAGACAAATCTCTGTGGTGAGACTGTTCCAAAGGCGAGGGGCCACTGCCGAGAAGGCCCACTTTCCTGTTCTTTCTCTTTGGGCCTTCCTCGGCGTTATGCCCCTCAGCCACCCATCTTGACTGAAGTGAGTGATTCAGGTAGATCTAGGTGGGAGGAGGTGTTCCGCCAGATATTGAGATCCTAAACCATTTAGGGCTTTATATGTCATCATTACTACTTTGAATTCAATGCGGAAATGAAAGGGCAGCCAATGCAGGGCAGCCAGAGTAGGAGAGATACAGTCGTGCCTCGCTTAGCGACGTTAATACGTTCTAGGAAAAATGTTGCTAAGTGATTTATTCGCTAAGCGATTTTAAAAACACGTTTTAATGCGTTTCTATGGGCTTAAAAACTAACCTTATGCGAAGATCCTCCATATGGTGCCTCTAAAGCGAGGCAAAACAGCGGGTGGCCATTTTGTTTTTTCTGGGGCCATTTTGGAACCGCCGATCAGCTGTGCAAAAATGGTCACCCCGCAATCATCGCAAAGCGATTTTTCCCCATAGGGGCCATCACTAAGCGAGCACTCTGGCGATGGCCAAAACCCCATCGCTAAGCAATTTCATCGCTCAACGAAGCGATCGCTAAGTGAGGCACCACTGTATGTTGGTGGTTTCTCCCCCAATAAGAAGTCTGGCTGCTGCATTCTGCACAATTTGAAATTTCCGCATCAGTCTCAGAGGTAGCCCCACATACAGCTCTTTAAAGTAGTCTAATCTCAAGACTACAAGCACGTGGACCAGAATGATGAAGGCCCCCACATCAAGACAGGGACGCAGCTGGGCAATCTGCCAACAATGAAAATAGGCAGTACGGATCATTGACACTACCTGTTTCTCCACGGTGAGCACCGAGTCAAGAATGACCCCCAGACTGCAAACCGAATTCTGGGAATAGCTAATACCCTAGAAAACAAACAAAATTCGCAGTGACCTTGATAGGGAGGCGCTCTGGGCCGAAAGCAACAGAATGAAATTCAACAGGGAGAAGTGCAAAGTCCTGCACCTTAGAGAATGAAACCAAATGCACAGTTACAAGATGGGGGAGACCTAGCTCAACAAAACTATGACAGAGAAGGATCTTGGAATTGTCGTATATCACAAGCCTAATATGAGCCAACAGTGTGATGTGACTAAAAAAAAAAGGCACATTATTTTAGGCTGCATTAACAGAAGTAGAGTTTCCAAATCTTGCAAGGTGCTAGTCCCCATCTATTCAGCACTGGTGAGGCCTCGCCTTGAGTATTGTGTCCAGTTCTGGATACCACACTTCAGGAAGGATGCTTACAAATTGGAACAAGTTCAGAGGAGGGTGACAAGGATAATCAGGGGGCTGGAAACCAAGCCTTATGAGGAAAGGCTGAAAGAATTGGGTATGTTTAGCCTTGAGAAGAGAAGACTGAGGGATGATATGATAGCATTTTTCAAATGTTTTTGAGCAGGGGGTTGGACTTGATGGCCTTCTAGGCCCCTTCCAACTCCACTTTTCTATAATTCCATGCTTCATTTTATATTTTACCCAAGTGTGCTCTTAGGGGAAACAAGAGTTTGAGTGGCTAAAGAAACTGTCTTAGCCACAGAGCGATGTGGGCTATTTTTACTCTTCGGGTGTCCTACCTGGTCAGGATGGTATGCAGGGCTTAAAGTACAAAGTCAACAGTATTTTGTCCCCAAATAAGGGGATAATTGGGAATCTAGGGTTAGAAGCTTGCCCATATTTGTCCATTTCCCCACCTTCAGGTTTCACTCAGTATATGGTTCATAGTTTGGTGAACCTGTGTAACGGAGTTCTTCAGAGCCTGGGGGAGTCATCGTGGTGAAGGCGGGAAAGAGACAAGGAGGCCCTTCGTCGGTTTCAATATCAACTAGTTTATTAGTCACACAACTTAATTCCACAGGATCAAACGGGTCCTGTAAATAACTGTCATTTAACAAATGATAACGTTTAGGTCGCAAACCCCACATTCCCATCGCCTGACCTAAAAGGGTGCCGGCCCAAACTTCTCTCGATCCGTCATGGGACGGAGGGGGGCACTCCTCACTGCACACACCGTGCCGCAACATGGATGCCTTGCCCAGTCTCCCTCACGAGGTTTCTTCTGAAACTCAGGACCGGGCCGAATCACCCTCCGTCCCCCAACTGGGGGACTCCGGGGATATACCGACACTGTCCATTCCAGAGGTTCTATCCACTTCCCTCGCCCCCCAGGCGCAATGGGGTCAGGAAGCAAACCTCCCCCGGTCGCTAGGTTAGGGAAACCTTCTGTAAGCTGTGGCGAGGCTCCGATCCCAACCATGGGCTCTTTCTGGACCCCTCGGTCTCTTGTCCTCTCTGGGTTGACATCAGTCCAAAAGTTGAAAACACGCGTGCTATCCGTCCCTTTTATCTCTTCCCACAGAATGAGGTCCAGCTCCTCCCCCTCCTCATCTACCAGGCACACCTCCTCTGGCCTTGTCACGACTGGCTCCGCCTGCTCTATTTCCACCAGTATCCCCTCTCTACACCCACTTTCCACAGTCGCTTCTCTTGTCGCTGAGGACAGCACACACTCAGCTCTTCCTTCACAACCTGGGAACTCAAGTTGGCCCCTTCCCCTAGTGGAATAGCACCTTTAACATGGTGGGAGTGGTGGAATCATTTTAGCACTTAATCTTGTGCTCTAGGTTTTTTGCGAAGTTTTTAGAACTTGCCACTGTGCATCTGAAGTGGCACATGGAAGAGGCTGTAATCGCATTTTGAAAGGGTGCTGTTCTTAAGGTTAATGAGCACAGTGGAAACTCCCGCCCCCCGTGTTATTTTGCTTAGCCAGACAGGGCGGCAAAGATGATTAGGAATGAAGAGGATGTTCCTGACATACCCCGTCATGCAACTGCGAGTCCCCCAGCTGTGGTGTCTAATGATAGAATCATTTGACTTTGAAGGGGGCTATCCGTGTATCAAGTCCATTCCCCTGCTCAGAGCTATCATCCAAAAAGGAGAGAGGGTCCCAAATTAATTCCAAGCCCGCCAGCAAAATTCATAACCTCTTCATATGCCCTAGGTTGGCCGGGCCACTCATGAATTGTCATGCGCTACCAGGGTCCTCCTCCTGTGTTGGTGCTCTAGTCTGGGAAGTGGCAGGCCACTCATGAATTGTCATGCGCCACCAGGGTCCTCCTTCTGTGTTGGTGCTCTAGTCTGGGAAGTGGCTCTCCCCTTCCCTGCCTCCTCCAGCAGCTGACCACTCCCATGAGAAAGTGAGACAAGGATTCTCCCCACTAAACTAAATGATTGGTTGACTGCAGGAAAAGGTAAGGAAGGGCCAGCAGAGCTCCATTCTGGATTGGTGCACTACTGGAGAAGAAGGGCCCCAGCAGTGCACGGCGAGACATGACTGGCCCAGCTGGCCTGTGGGGTGTGGGCGAGTTTATGTGCTTCAGCTCTAATTCTGCGCACATGGATTATTCCAGATGGGGCCCAAATTAATTCAGGCCCATCTTTAGGAAAGAGTTCTATTATGTTTCTCCCCTGAGGCTTCTTTTCACAAAGCTAAAAATGCCCAATTCTTTCAATCTTGTTCTGTTGGCTTTCAGTTTTCAAGATGTTTGCAGTGGGTCTGCTTTGTAATCTCCTCCAGAGTTTTCCCTTAGATGGATGTCAAGCTGACAGGTCTGCAGTTCCCTGGCTCCCCTTTTTGGACATAGGAAACCTCTTTCATCTCTTTGTTTTTCTCCATCAGGTGAATAAGAGGACAAATGGAATTCTGTGGAGCCAGTCGTTCTTTCAGTGGGGAAAAAAAGTATGAAGGACACAAAAATTGACACACTTAAAAGGTGGAAAAGGGAAGAAGGGAAGCCAGAAAACAAGAGGGAAAAAGAAATCTCCAGCTTCTCCTGCTATTCACCTGAAAAATCAACGGGGAAAAGGAAGGAGAAAAGGTTCCCTGGGCAGATAAACATTCAAGGGTGCCTCAGATGACAATAGACTTGACAAAATCCACCCAAAGGAGAAACGAAGTGAACATATTGAACAAGGAAAGAGCTTCACAATGCACAGTCATTGTACTTCACGTGAAAGATCCCTGAGGGGTGAGAGACAGTACAAATGCCTACAGTGTGGAAAGAGCTTCAGTAAGAGCAGTAGCCTCGTTTCCCATCAAAGAATTCACACTGGGGAGAAACCATATAAATGCATGGAATGTGGAAAGAGCTTCAGTCGTAGCGGTGATCTGAGTTTCCATCAAAGAACCCACACTGGGGAGAAACCTTATAAATGCATGGAATGTGGAAAGTCCTTCAGTAAGAGCAGTCACCTGAGTTCCCATCATTTAACTCACACTGGGGAGAAATCATATAAATGCATGGAATGTGGAAAGAGTTTCAGTCTGAGCAGTTCACTTAGATCTCATCAAAGAACTCACACTGGGGAAAAACCATATACATGCATGGTATGTGGGAAGAGTTTCACTGACAGAAGTGGTCTCAGTTCCCATCAAAAAACTCACACTGGGGAGAAACCATATAAATGCATGGTATGTGGAAAGAGCTTCACTCAGAGCGGTAACCTGAGTTCACATGAAAGAATTCACACTGGGGAGAAACCATATAAATGCTTGCAATGTGGAAAGAGCTTCACTCAGAGTGGTGCCCTGAGTTCCCATCAAAGAACTCACAGTGAGCCTAAAATGTATTGGCCTTTTTTGTAACCACATTAAACTGTTGGCTCATATTTACCTTGTGTCCCATGACAATTTCCAGATCCTTCTTGTTCGTAGTGTTGTAGTTCTCCTTGTGAAATTTCATTCTGTTGCTTTCGGCCCAGGGCTCCAGCCTATCAAGTTCATTTTGAATTTAAGAGTATTGGCTACTCCACCCGATTCTGTGATATTTGCAAATTTGATTAGCATTCCCTGCATCACCAATCCACATCATTAATAGAACTGTTGAAGAGCACCAGGCCCAGGAGTGATCTTTGGGGTACCCCACTAGTGACCTCCTTCCAGTTAGAGAAGGAGCTATTACTCATCATTCTCTGAGTACAATACTGTAGCCAACTGACACTTGATCGATTCAGGCCACACCTAGTTAGCTTGCTAATTAGAAGATCACAGGGCATGTCATGCACATGGTCTGCTAAAGCAGAGGTCGTCAACCCCCGGTACGCGGCCTGCGTAGACAGACCTCCTACCCCGCTGCATGCACTCACCACCGCAGAGGTTGTGCAAGCGAGAGATGGAGCAGTCTGCCAGGAACATGAAGGTCCAAAACCAAAAAGTCACTGCTTTCCTTCTCCTCCTCCTCTTTGTACGGCGGGGTGTTGTTGGTGGGTGTCGGGACTCGGTTGGCAGGGAGGGAGAACAAGTGGTGGCCTTTGTGAGGAACGTGTGCAGGAGGGTGAGCAAGTGCTCTCCATACTCACCGAACTGAGGATGCTCAGGGCGAAGGGAAGGGGGAAGAACCCTGGGGGGGGAGGCTTGGAGTCCCCGCGTTTGTTTCAGAGTCAAAGAGGGGCTGAGCTCCCCTTCCCCTGATGTCGGTCACTCCCTTCCTCAACTCCAGCTGCCCTCTTTATTCCCTGCCATCTCAGTCATTCCCTCAGCCACTGCCCGCCTCCTTTTCTCCCCCTCCTCCAGCCATGACCCGTTTCCCACTGGTTCTGGGGGGCCTCTCTAACCAGGCTTGTCAGCATTCTAAGATATACAGGCTTTTGTGCTTATACTTTTTGTCAAAAAGCCTGGCATGTCCAGGGAAGGAGAGCCAAGCAGCCTTACAGCAACACTGATATAGCCTTAGGAAAAGATAAACTTTTCAGCCCCCTAATCTGTGCCCGCTCGGTACAGAAAGCTCGGTACAAAAAGCTGGCAGGGAAGAGAACTAGCATAACAAAGGTGGCAGTTCCAGTCTCTTTTCTCTTCTCTTTAAGTGTCTTTCATCTTTCAAAAGCAAGTTCTATTTATTTCCTTAAGACACCAATCCCCACATCTGAGCCTTATGATCCTAAAACAAATTGCCTACATAGTAAGCCAGATTGGGTGCTGGGACTTGCCCTCATTGTTTTTAATTTCCGCTAGTCAGACATTTGCTTGCAGGAATAAATGGAGTACTTTCCATGCTTGATGTTTAGGGTCAAGTCTGTATACAATCAGGTTGCGTATTTTCAAGCTGACTTTAGGGGTCCCTGCTGGTTTTACAGTGCAATGTTCAGAAATGCCACAGAATTGGGAGAATGGTTTTGATTATGGAAAGTAGGGGTGGCCACAAACCTTTATTACACCCTCTTGGCCCCTTTCACTCTAAGATCCTTGCCTTTAATCTACCCTGCAGCTTTGACTCTTATGCTCATAGGCATGCTGTTGGCACTAAACTATTCCCATGGTGGTGTGGAATTAATAGTGCTATTTAATAGGAATAGTTCTAACTGAAAATTTCAGCCCTTGAGTTAAGATATGCAATAAAATGTTGGTGTATTTAAATGTTGGTATGCTTATTGAGTGCATAAGAAAATTCAGTCTCGGCATCTGGGTGTTTCTTTGCTTAATGCTTTGTTTGGGATCTTAATACAACTTTTGTAGCTGAATTCTATGCAGTGTTAAACATCCTTAAATGTAAATTACAAAGAAGGAACGAGAAACCTCTCATAGTCCAACAAAAATGACTCATTTCTTTAAGGATTTTGTCGTATTTCTAACTGTTCTGCTACACATACATAGACCAACGCATATTCTCTACCTAGAAAACCCTGGAAAGGGTTGTCAAAAGTCACTATTGACTTGAAGACACACTGTTAGTATTATTGTCTTATTAGCTGGCAATTCATGGGCCATCCCTGGAATTCTTGGGGCATATGTTCCTAGTGACTTGGCACACAATCTGAAATCTCAGCTAGGGCTTGTTAACTGCCAGCCAGAATCTCCTGGAAGTTACATTGTTTGTCTTTCAGCCATAGTTTTAATGCAGATAGATATTTTATGTGCAAGGCTACATTTACCTGAGTGTGAGTCACAGTGAACACAGTTGACAGAAGTCATTTGTAGCTTAACTTGTACAAAATCATCTTGCACATCTGTCTCTGCTAGTACTGTCTTTACCTTTACACACATTTCAGTCTTTGGAAAACTCAGATACTAATTAACTCCGGTTATCCGACATGTCTAGTGTAATTGTTTAAAAAGAGATCCAAATTGATTGCTTCTCTGTTTCTTTATCAAATAATTTTGTCGGATAACCGGAGTTAATTAGTATGGAAGTTTTCCAAAGACTGAAACTTAGACTCATCTGAGCACCTTGTCAGTTAGCCGCAGTTAGCTGCATAACTTGCCACACTCATTACAGAATATACTTTTATCATACTGACCACATGCTGGTCAGTAATCTAGTTCACAGGCTATACATCTAGGCCACTACAGTTCACCCGTCCAGAGACATTTTGCCCAGGATACCCTTTTAACCTAAAAATTGCACCTGATCAACACATGCATGAATAGATTTGCCAAGTGCTTGCAACGTATCAAGTGTTTACCTGCAACCTCATTTCAGGGATTTTCCCACAGGAAACACTTGTAGTCCAGGTAGGTAAGGTAGGAGATGAAGCTTAGGAACAGGGTGAAAAGGACTTTCTGGAATCATGGGGTCACCATCCTTTGCTTCCCCCCCCCCTTTAAATCATTAGCTAGCGTAATCAAGGACAGAAAGAAAACCTAGTTGCCCAAATGAGAATCTGTAGCAATATGCTAAAAATCTGTAGGTGGAAGTGAACTTGAAGCTCTTGAAAATCAATACTGGGACACCCTTACGGACGTCCCTAATGAAAGGTGATCATTTTGTTAATTTCCATAATGTTATTACCTTGTGAATCTTCTAATGAGCAAAGGCTTTCAATATTTGATTAGCATACAGTGGCAGGATGTGACTAATCTGGAAAAACAGACGCAGATTCCAATTTGTCTCTTAATTCGATATGGCTGAAATGGAGGACTAAACAACGCTGGGCGTCACTCGCCAGGAAGTGCCCGTGTCCTTCGCTCTCATGACCTGATCTTGGCATGAGTGGCACAATTTTGAATGGAGTAGAATATTTTCCTAGAAAGCACCTGAATCTGTTAATTTGCAAATGCTTGTCATGCCTTTCTGCTTCTCTTTCCTCTCCTTCCCAATTTTTTTCTGTTGAAAAAAAGAATTGAGTCGCTAATGGTCGCCTGTTTTTTCTCACTTCCTGCTCCTTTCTTTGCCGCCAACCCCACAACCTTGTCTTCTGCCCCGACGACGACCCCTTGCCCGAATTCCTGGTCTCTTTGCAGAGATGGAGGGGGGGGGGAAGGGATCTCCTTTGATGGAAGGAGTGACCTCCTCCAAGGAGTGGTCCAAGTCCCATGTTTGAGTCAACGTCCTTGAATCCCAAGTCTGAATCCTTGGTACCAAGTTTTGAGTCCCTGTTAAAAACAAGCGTTTTTTCAATAGTTGTAGGTTTTTCGAGTTGTCTGGCCATGTTCTGGAGAAACAGCCCAAAAAACCTACAACCATTGGATCCCAGCCCTGAAAGCCTTCGAGAATACAAGCTTTTTTTTCCTCAGAAAAAGGTTGGGTGGGGTCCAAGTCAGCAGTTGAGCCTAAGTCATTGGGAAAGAAACCCAAAACAAAACCTGGTCGAGTCTTTGTGGAGTCACAGGTGCTCCTTGATAGTGAGTTGCCTCTCACTCCTGGCCTCCTTTGGGGGGGGGAGAGCTTCCCTCCCCCCAAGCACAGAGATGTGACCCCCCCAAAGCCCATGGCTGGCCCACGTCTCCATTGTGCCACAACTCTCCTGCCCAGCCTCATCCCTGGGGGGCGGAGAGGAGTCTTTCTCTTGCCCCATTCAAAGGTGTGGGGAAGAAGGAGATGGTTGTGACTGGAAGAAAAG